AAATTGGCCTCATGGGACTAGGTAAGGTTTTGTGAAAGTATCTCTCAAATCCTTGTCTCCTCCTGCCCCCAATTTAGAGTGACGTCCCTGGACTCACCTAACGTGGCTATTCTGCACAGGTGGTTGAAGCTTACACTGGGAGAGTTAGTTAGCAAGGGGACATCCAGGAAGAAAGGCAGCTTCGAAGTGTCCAGTCAGGTCCACCTGCTGCTAGCCAGCTACGGTTAGATATGGCCTGTGGGTCCATGCACCCAGGACACAGCCGATCCCTCAAAGGGGGCAACCATTCCCCCGGGAGCATTTCAGTCCCAGGTCCTCCCAGGCAAAGAAGTTCCTCTATAAATAAATAAACTCCAAAGGGGGAGGGAGAGCTGGAAAATGGATTCGCTGACAAGGAGAGATAATAAATGAGAGGCGCTTTCAGATAGATATCTCAGACGTGAAATTGCGCCCAGCTGGTTGTGTAAGCAAACAAATAGTTTCATGTTAGGAACTCTCAACTTGTGCCTTGATGAATAGAACACGACAGAGGTAAATGGGTCTTTAACTCATTTAGGAATACAACTCTTTGGCTTCCCAAGTAAAAGGCCCTGTGACGCCACGGATCCTGAGCAGGTCATTTAACAAGAGTTTTATTAGTTCCCACTTGTGTCCCCCTCCACTCCCTCTCCACATTCCTTCTGGTCTCCCATTTGCAGAGATATTCAGGTGGTTTGTTCTGAGGAATAGTGGAGTTTACAGGAGGTGACTTTGCCATTGTGGGAGATAGATAACAAGAGTACCCACAAATGGGGGAAGAGGAGAAGGACAATTTTTAAAGTAAACTTTTTGCATGTCCCAAGTGGAAGAGCTCAGGTGGTCTGGGATCAACGGGCTCCAGAGTCCCAGAATCCCAAAGAGCAAAGCTGGGCGATGGGGCCTCCAAGAACATACCAAGACTCCGCTGCCTTTTGGAAGTTGTTACCAGAGGCAGCAAGCTTGGACCAACCAGAGAGGCAGAGTCCCGGAAGCCCTAGTTTGTTTGGGCAGCTGAATTCCCCATCCTGGATTTTTGGTGTGGTGCCACAGGGTAAGCACTCGACCTCCAGGTTGGTTTGAACTGCAAGGCTGGTGGTTCAAATTCACCAGTCGCTCCTTAGAAAACCTATACAAGGTCGCTATGAGTCAGAACTGACTCCCTGGCACTTAACAACAAAAACAACATTCCCCATTTTAGGAGCTGGTCACATATTGGGATGTGAGCATGAGGAGTAAAGATCATACTTTCTTCCCTTGCTCCAGGACTTATCCCTAGTGGCTCTCCCAGTCCCAGGAGGTAGATAAGATAAGATAAGATAAGGCTCATCTTCCATCTCTCCTCCTCTCCACCCACCCCCAGCAATTCCCAAAGGAGAGAACGTCCTTCCAGAGATGTTTTTTTTTTTTTTTTTTCCTGACGTTTTCTGCAAAGCTCTGGCTAAAGTAGTTTGACTGACTTCAAAGTCCCTAAAGTTCTCAGTAGCCCAGCAAGTTAGAAAAGGGATCCTTTGACTTTCATGTGTCACAGGTAATTTCAAGAGGGAAGTCATCTTGTGTGGGCTGCTCTCCAACTGTTAAAATGTATATCATCTGGCCCTAGGGATCTGTTGGCTCCACCCCGGCCAGTTATCCCAGCCCTTCCCTCCAGACTCATTAGAGCAAGGACAGCCCTGGCTTGTCAGATGAGGCTGCGAGCGCCTTAAGCGACCGTCTGGCCTACACCTGTCTGAGGCCTCACACCCAAGTTTCCGGGCTCCCTCTGGTGCCTGGCATGAAAGCAGACTCTCTGTAGGGGTCTCAGGGCCACCCAGGCATAAGCGTTCCCTCCCACATGCTCCACCTCTTAGTCTGTCTAGGCCCTGGACCCAGGCATCTTTCAGGGGCTTGGGAGACAATGAAAATTTTCAAGGCCCTGCCCCTCAGTCCAGCTCGACCTTCACTCTACCCCCGCTGGGATGAGGCTACTGGTCAGCCATAACATGGGAGCTTTTAACCAGAACAGAGAGGACACTTGCTGGTTGTTGGGCGGCACAGCCCCCTCACTATTTAGATGCTGCAGCCTCACCTCCCGAAGCCTTCCCTTAGCTCTAGTGAATCTCAAAACTCCAGAAGCTCCAACAGCTTCCAGTAGTGCTCAGCTTGACCAACCTGGGTACCTGAAAGGCTCTGTCTCTCTGGATGAGAACCACAGAGATCTCTAGTTAAGGAAAGATGACTATCTTTGAGTACAATGCAGGTGGGAAATTCTCCAGCCACCAAGGAGACAGCAGAGAGGAGAACCCCTCCCCACCCCCCTGCCTGCTACTCTCACCCCCACCCCACTGGGCCTCTGTAGCAGAGAAGCTGAGCACCCTTTGCTTCTCCTGGCTTCTAGACCAAGTCCCCCTCCCAGAAAGTCTATGAGCCATAGGAAGGCCTGCTTTTTCCCGCTGAACTGTTTGGGCTGGATCTGGGCTTGGGCCAGAAAGATTCAGAAAGATCTCTGGGATTCCCCAGGCCTTGAGTGTTGGTCCTGGACCCTTGGATAAGAGGCAAGTTGCCATTGCCACCTCCTGCGGCCCAGGATCAAGTGCCGGGCACATCTGGACTTTGGATCAGGGGCTAGTCTCTACACTAGGTGGCCTCCATATTGAAATTAATTGAAAAATACGTTTCTGATCTATGAAAATGTTTATCTGTTTTCATCAGAGGGATCATACTGTAATGAATATATTTACATCTAATTTCCAGAAAGGCAGGAAATATTGGTGAGCACTTCCAGGCAGCTGCCCCTCCCCCACTACATCCAGGCTTGCAACCCATTCCACATCAAGCCCCTCACATCCAGCAGCGGGAGAATTCCCTGAGACTTCCTGAGAGAAGGTCGGAGTTGAATGTGAACTCTACAATCCCCTCTGACTTCAGCATCCCCACTATAACAGCGAAGTCACCCTGGGCCTAAGATGTTGCCACAAGGTGTGGTGCAAAGGCTGCCTGTGGCTCTGGAGCCCGGTGGTGGTTGGGATAGATTGTTGTTGTTAACTGCCATCGAATCAGTTCTGACCCTTAGACACCCTGTATAGGGTTTCTGAGGAGCAGCTGGTGGATTTGAACAGCCAATATTGCAGTTCAAATTGACCTTGCAATCCAGCACATTATCCTGCAGCACCACACCAGGACTCCAGGACAGACTGGAGGGCAGGGAAGTTCAGCTGACCACAGAGCTCACAGCCTCACACCCACCTGGCCTGGTCAGGCAAACCTAGTACAGGATAGTGGACAGCAGGGATTTTCCCACTGAGAGTGCAACACTGACCAGGCTGAGCTGCAAACAGAATATTAAAAACTTTAAGCCAGTTGGAGTGTAATGCATGTTTTAAGGAATAATGATAATAATAAAACCTGGAGATAGCAAATTGAAAGCAAAGCATTGCTAGTGACTTCTAAAAGTGAAACTCTTGCCCCATCTTAGCCTGTTTAGGGTTGGGGAGAGGTGAGAAGTGTTATTTTTAAAGATCTGGCTTTATTAGTATGTTGAGAACGCTCCCTTGGCTTATGAATTCTTGAAGCTCCAGCTCCGATCCTATAAAACATTCATGCTCCAAAAGCTGTTACAGAATTGCCCCCCCACACAGCCAACAAGAAGACTCAGGGGTAGATTTCTGCCTTCAAAGGGCCACTAGGGCCCAAAGCCCATTCTCGGAATAATGGACTCTGTCTGGCTCCCCAACTCCTAGGTTCAGAATTTATACCCAGAAGTGTCCTAGGAGGGACCTTCCATCCACCCACCAGAGCTTGAGGGTCCTCTAGGGAACACCTGTCACAGAACCTGAAGGGAAGGGCAAACCACAGCTCTTCAGTGGACCATAATGGGGAGCAAAGCCAGGGCTCCAGGCGCTGAGGCTCCAACTTTCTCCCAGAGCTGGAAAAGGCAGGACTCTCCAAACACTGACATCCAAGAGCTCACACACAGCGGCCTGAAAGACCGTTCTACCACGCCTGTTACATCTACCCCTCTACACCTCTCCTGAACCTTGTCTGATTGACGAGTTCCCACCTGTAGCCAGACCCGGGCTTGATGCTGCTGTGGAGTCACTAAAGAAGGTAGTTTCTCCTGCACTTGCTGCGTGGAGACTCCACAGCGCATGACCCGAGCGCCCCAGCCCCTGATCCAGCTGCTCACAGGGCCGCCTACGGCCGGCCCACAAGCCCATAAGAGCTGCTGTACCATGCCCAGACTTCCAGGCTCCCTGGCCTCAACGCTGACTCCAGCCCACGCAAAGCCTGGCCCTTCGTATTTACAAAACCCAGGCAACGGTTTGATTTTAGGAAATGAATCCCAGACAATCTATGGACCTTAAAAGTTATGTCAGCCCTCCCCAATTCACTTCTAAAGTAATTAATGTGGAAATTGAGGGGTTCTCTTGCACTGATGACAACTGTCAAGCAACCAGACACATGGATTTTGCTAAATTCTTTTATTTTTGTTTAAATTTTCACTTCAATTTTAATTCTTGAAGAACAGCCTTGACAACATATATCGCACTCATTATAAGAAGCAAAGGGTTATATCAAAAATTATTAGTATAGAATCACAGGAAATCTGGTTTGGAACCAGAAAAAAATACAAAACAGATATAGATACATAGACACAGGACAATTTTATAATTATTTGGAAAATGTTATTTTCCCCTAATTCTTGTTTCCTTTTTCTGTTATGCGCATACGATGTTTAAATTTTACAAAAAAAATGAAAATAAAGGCTAATATTTTACAAAATGAATAACAATGTTCAGGGTAGGTGTGTGTGTGTGTGTGTTTCTACATAGGATTCAGTCCACTTCCATGTGTGTGGTTTTCTGTACAGAATATATCCACATCCGTCCACAATAAATCCTGGAAGGTCCGTTAGTCTCCTTCTGTTTTATTAAAATCCTCATGGTCCTCTCTTCCATTTTTTTTTTTTTTTTCTCTTTTTCTCACCAGACACAAGATCCTTTTCCTTTCCTTTCCAATGTGTTCAAAGATCTGATCCTAAACGAGTCTTTCTCGTGGCTTGCAGTTCGGGCTGCATTTCTGCAGAATGGGCTTCTCTTGTCCCAGCCCTCCTCCTCCCCCCCCACGCGCCCCCCAGCCCTGCCTGCCTGGCCTGTCTGGCCCGCTGCCTTGTGTCAGTTGACCGGGTGTCCTGCAGCTTTGGAGTCTTTGGCCCCGGCTGGTCTTCTGAGTCTCATAGGGGGATGGGGGCAGGTGGGAAGCGCCCAAAATCTAGGAGCACTGGATGGACATGTAAGGCCAGTTGAAGCTGCTCCCAGACAGTAACATATCACGGATGAGAGTTTTGATCGGGGTTTTACCTACCAAACGGACGAAGAAGAGCTGCTCGATGACAGAAGAGGACACAGTACGCAGCGAGGGCAGTCGCAGCAGCAGTTTGCCGAAACGGCTTGGCTGGTTGGGGTACTGGCTCCTTACATACTCCTCCAGGGCACACTGCGACTTCTCCTGCAGGCTCTCGATGTGGGCAGCATCCGACAGGCCACAGGCGTCTGCCCAGGCAGCCGCAGGAGGGAAAGATGGGGATGGAGTACACAGTTAGATCTGAGAGCTGCAGAGGCCAAACAAGAAGTCACCAAATAAACACACACACACACACAAACATACACACACACACACTCTCTTTTTTGGGTATTGTTTTTAAAGAGAAAAGGGCAAAAAGGAAATAAAATACAAAAATCTTTCCTTCCCCAATTCCTTCTTCACCATTCCCTTCCGCCAGCCCCTAATATAAATAAGATAAACCAAACCCTTGCTAAGCCTAGGGGAGCTGGAGAGGAAAGCACACACACACACACACACACACACACACACACACACACACACACACACACACACACCGAGGCAGCAATCTCTCTAGTCCCTTTGTTTTTCCTCTTGCACCTTTGGATTAAATAATGTACGATGCTGGAGCCGTGGTGTTTGCTATGCTATCAACCTGTCCTCAGTCTGCAGGGGAGCATCTTTCTGGCTGTGCTCATTAAAGGGAGGATTTTTGCCCCTTTGCCCCCGATTTTCAGGTGTTCAGGAGCCCTAAAGAAACAGACAGCCTGAAGGCAACTAAAGGCTTCTTGGAGTCCCCTCTCAAGCCCAAATGACTCCAACTGGAAACCTCAAGGAGAACTTAGATTGTGTAGTGACAAACACATGGGAGGGGGTAAAGAGTCCTGGTCTGGCAGTGCCTGGAAGCAGATCAAGCCTATGTTTTAGCAATGGAGAATATGAGATCCACCATCTATGCAAGCAAGGACTCTGCAGCAAATCCTCAGTGAGGGTGTACACTTCTATCTATGCCTCAGATCAAGTAATTGAAAATTGGTCACATCTCTGTAAGCTGTATAATAATCAGGAAGAATATGGCTCAGTTACTCCAGGCTGGGGAAGGGAGACGTCTTCAGTGATCACACACAAAGCTGGGATAGAGGCAGCTGCTGCTGTTTCAGAGCTTGGGTGGGGGAAGGTGGGAGACTATGGGGCCAGAGTCTTCCTGTGGCAGGACTGAGGGGGCGGGAAAGGGCACTTCCACACAAGGACAACATCTCAAACCCTGCATGTTTACCTCATATCAACCAAGACCCTTCATGGTCCTTTAAAAATATTTCAAGACAGTGTCTAATACTATAACCACTAAGTAGAAGCAGGCAAATTAAGGAGAAGGTGAAATCCAAGGAATGGCATGAAGGTTTCATCTCCTAGTATTAATAATAAATACAAAGCAACAATAACAACAACAAAACAAAACAAGAGGATCACAGAGGAGCCCTTAGTCAGTTGAAGTTGACTAGAGATCAAAGACAGAGTTTGCTAATATATAGATCTAGGGAGATATTCATGCATGGTAAAGCCCCCAAAAGGACACTGTATAATTGTGAATGGGCAAGTGTGACCCTAAGAAAACAGAACAAATTATTCAAAGGGAAACCTGTGTGTGCTGAGTTTCTGAGCTTTACATCTTTATATTTCAAGAACTGGGATTTACAAAGCATTCTAACACCTTCATCTACAAGGCTATGGCCTCAAGCAAAAATACAAATAAAACTAGCGATAATTCAAGAACTTCTGAGGGAAGTCCCCTTTGACCCCACATCCAGACTGGGTTCCTCTCAGATATCTAATTACTGTAGCCAGCTGCTGGGGTGCATCCACATTGGCCTGTTTTGGGAAGCCAACGTGGTTTTACTGCTACCAGAAGTAGAGAGGAGCTCTTTGGAATTTCATTGCTTAGAGAGGGGACCTTCAGAGTTGCCCTTGGCCCTGTAGCTAACCTGGCCTTGTTGAAAGGCCATCCTGAAGACCCATATTTACATATCTCTGGCTTTACATGCCTTTTCTTCCTATTAGGCCACAAGATCTCTTTCAGTCCCAGAGAATGCAATATAAAAAGGACCCACAAGACCCATATGGCATTCCCTTCAGGTCAGTAAAATATTTATCTGATATTTATCATTGGGGTGACCAGAGTACAAGTTCACTACCCTACTCTTAGGCCACTCCAAGGAAGGAGAGGCCAGGAAAGCCATGCTTGGGCATTGTGCTGATTGCTTCCATTTAATTTCCTCCTTTGGAAGAGAAATACCTAAAGCTGGGTCAGGCTGCCAGGTAACAGGCAGTCTTTCTCTGTAAGGAGCTTGTTCGGACCTGGCTTCCCACTCTATCCATTCATCCTCTCCCATTGTAACAGGACTGCCCCAACTTTGGAAGACTACGGGGTACGGGCTTTCAGATCAATGGGGTGGTTGTGGTGGCAGAGCTAGGTGAGTAGGGGGTGTATAGCAGTCCACACTTAACACTCCATGAGCTATACTCCATACAAAGAAAGAAGGCAGAATGTGCAATACCCATGTCCCACGTTTTATTATGTGGTAGTGTCATTGTGGGAAACTTCAATATTTCTTCTACAGTGTATGGAAAGAAATTATGTAAATAAATAACCATTACTGCTCTGGCCCTCCCGGCTTAGCCTTTGTAGTATGGAGAATGTATTTCATGTTGTGCATTCAGAAGAGTTTAGTGTTCAGGAAATATAGATGTAATCAGCTGCTATAACTAGAAATCAAAGTTATTATTATGCTGAAAATGGATTTATTGTATTTATGTTAACTAGATGGCTCTTTTCAGGGAAGGTCTCATTTATTTGAAGGGATATTTAGGTGTATGAATTCATAAAAAATTTAAAAAGTAAGTTCAGGTCATGACCTAGTCCTTGGATACAGTCCAAAATATTAAGGATTAAACATACCATCCAGAGGCCAAATGTGAAAGCCACCATGGGGAACCTCTGTGCCAGCTTCAAATACTTAGCCAGAGCAAACTACATTGGACAAGATGCCTAAAACTGTCTTTTCCATCATTCAAAGTTTGCTTAAAAGTTGGATGACTTTGAGAAGGCTTCCCATGAATTCCCTTCTGGCTAGCAATCAAAACAAGTTTAGTCAAAACTGGAAATGTGTTGTATGGAAGAGAGGGGTGAATTACTACTGACAGCTATATTTCCATTTTCAGATACTCTGCTTGCAATTTTCCAACAAAATAATGTTATTGTTCCCTTCTAGACACCCCTTACACCCTGATGACTTGGTTCAAGCAAGTGCTTTGGGAATTTTTTTTTTTTAAGGAACACTTTTCACAGGGGTGTTTTAAAATGGAAAGTTGAAAGAAAAGCATTAATAATTCCACAATCTTCTCTGCAGTCTTTGCCTCTCTCTGGGAAAGGGCAGGAGATCAGAAAAGTCAAGGGGGTTCAAAGAACCTCAGGCAGGACAAGGGAGAGGGAGGGGAGACGTTTCTTGAGAAGACCTCTGTCCAGCTCCAAGTAACATTTCTGCTTCAAGACTCCTAGCTGGATAAGACTGAAAACCCCCAGCTTCCCTGACACTGGCCTGCGTCCTGATGAATTTGGCTATAGAGGCTGGTATTGGAGAGTGAGCCAGGCCCCCAGCCTGCCAGAGCTAAAGCAGTCTGGTCCCTGCTTCCCAGGCTCTTTGTCACTTTTGAAAAACACGTTTCCATCAAGAAGACTTATTAAGATAAAATGCATTCAAACCCCGAGGAGGCTATTCAATAAATCTTCCATTTGTTTTAAGGTTCGCACTTTATCCTCTTGCAAAGAATAACTCCCTCTCCCACTAGCAGACCTGCATTTGCACTGAAAGTAATAGAGGGGCAGTCCAAGTCCATGGCTCTGGCCACCCTGCATACAAATGAGATGCTCCTGTCTAAATAAATTATCTGCTGCTCAGATCGATATTAATACTACATTTGCTACATTACAATATTGTGCAAATTTAAGAGTCATTTTAATACAATGTAAATACGATTCTTCACGCATGAAAGCCAAGAAATATTGATAGATTATACCACTGCTTACCGCTCAACAAGGCCTTGGGAAAGGGGTTTTGCTATCTTTGCTCAAGAATGGTTTTAATTTGGCCTTTGGAGGGCCTGGCTCTAGGATAGATTTATTAGGACAGTTTATTTGTTCACCGAACAGAGGAATGAAAAACAATAGTGCCAATAATGGTGGTAAAACTGCAGCTAACACTACTTGCAGTGGGCAGGGTCCAAGACCAAATCTGAGCAGCACTGCTCCCCACCAGCGGCCTTTCTAGCTTTGTTTATATTTCTCCCCATTACCTGCTGTCCCGGGTGTTTATGTGTTTCCCCCTTGCAGGTTATAATAATAAAAGGCGGGCAGTGTTCTCAGAGGCTCAGACCAGAGCCTTTCAAAGGCAACGTTAATGCACTTTCCTGGAAGTTAATTTAAACCATCTATCATAAGAGAAATTGTTAACATGCATGTTACCACCGCCTACACTTAATTTGATATTTTTAAGGCAATCTGTTAAATTTCCAATACTCGACTGTTTTGCATAGCCATGAGATTTATCTCCAGGTCGGAATTCTCCCATACTTGTGAACCCTGCAATATTGCTTTTGTTTTTTATCTTTCTTGTTTAGATCGAATCCGTTTTTTACGACCGTCAATAACCTCAGCAACTGCAAACATGAATGGTTTCCGATAAGGGAAAATCAGGCAACAATAAAGCCGGCTTATTTATGATTTATTTGTGCATATTCTTCTCTTTCCACCTCTTTCTGTGTATCTGTATGTGTCGGGAAACTCATCCAGGGAGGATGCCACACAGAGGAGAAAGCCATATTCCCACGTTCTCTTGCTTTCCACTCCTCCCCCAGAAACGCAGAGCTCTGGCTCACAGACACACACACACACACACACACACACACGCACACGCACACGCACACCGTGAGCATATACCGCACACACGCACAACCAGAGTCACAGCACCGCTTCCCCTCCCCCCAGACACGCACCGGGTGCTGCAGTGGCCCGAGCCGGCGCCAGGCCTCCAGATCCCGTCACCCACGTTCCCGCCCGAACCCCCTCGGCTCCCGCACAGCCACGCTCCCAAGATGGCAGCTGCGCGGTTAGCCGCGTCCCCGAGCGGGAGCCGCAGGGCGCGGGCCAGCCCGAGGGTCCGGTGAGCGCCGGGCTGGGCGCGGCGGCGGCGCAGGAGGCCCGGGCTGGCGGGTGGGCCGGCGGGCGGGTGGAGCGGGGCCTGTGCTCGCTCCCGACTAGGCCTGCCCTCCCAGCGACCACAGCCTCACCTGACGTGAACAGCACGATGGCTTTGAGGCAACTGTACTCGGCCGAGTCGACGTGCAGCGCCTTGAGCTTCTCCACTTGCTCCTGGAAGATGCGGATGTGGTCCATGAAGGCCACGACGTGGTCGGCGGACATGGGCGAGGCGTGCAGGCCAGCGGCGGCCAGCAGCGGCGCCACGTGCAGCGGCATGGAGCATTGGGCCGCGTTGAGCACGAACAGCTCGCTCCAGGTGAGGCGCAGCAGGGACACCTGATCGGTGATCTGCAGATCCGGGAAGAAGGGAATATTGCGGGCCCACTCGACGGCGCTGAAGAGCAGGCGCGCTGCTAGCTCGCAGATGTTCTCGATGCCCATGATGTTGTTGGGCTGCATACACTGGCTGCCATAGCGCGACGTGGGATAGGGCTCGGCGCGCAGTAGCAGCGAGATGTAGCCCGACAGGTAGCAGTGACCGTTGAGAGGGTCCCCGTTGGTGAGCGCGTACTGGCCTGGGTTGGGCTGGGTTGGAGGCATTCTTCCTCGCTGAACCGCTGACAAAAAGAAAGAGAGAAAAGAGGCAATGTGCATCCAGGGGGCTTGCGAACATCGCCGCGCTGCAGCGCACCCGACACAAAGCGGAGGCTCTTCCCGCAGTCACCCGCGCCCCGCGTACCTTCTTTCATGCGCTCGCTCTCACTCACAACCCATACCACGAGAAGAGCTGGAGTAAGGTCCTCCAGCTCCGTGGCCCAATGTACCGAGTCATCGCCTGTGCCACTGGCCACCCTAACCCTGCAGGAACCAGGCCTGACTTCAAGGCCCCCAGCTGGGCATGACCAGCCAAACTCTTACGCCAAGAAAGTGTCAACATCTCCACCACCAAGGAAGAACATACAGAAAAGTGAAACCCCACTCATGCCTTCAGGTTGAAATCGGGGTTTAAGAAAAGAAAAAGAAAAAAAACAAAACAAAACATATCTATATAGGCGAAACTTGAGAAAGGTTGTGGTTCTAGGCAAATATCTAGAGGCCTGGTAATTTGCAAGCAAGCAACGTTCTGCTCATAAAATGTTTCCATATTCTCTAAAAATGCTATAGGGTTATCCTTAAAATAGATACAAGTTACATACCCTCCTAACCACTTACAACTTTTGAGTAGAGAAGAAGTATCCTGCACCCCTCCCTTCTTCCCTCCTCCTCCTCGCCCCACACAAAGTTCTCACTGTTAAAAGCAACAGAAAATTGAATATTTTCAAGAAAAAAAAAGTTGAACTTACAGTAGCCAAACATTATTGAAAAAAGTGGGGAATATAATTAATTTCTGTCCTGCGCCGCACCACTGCAACCTGCAGCCAGCTTTTGCCCAGTGAATGGACGAGCTTGCAACTGCAAAAACACTGGATTCATTAACCATCTGAATGCAAAACGTAAGCATGCTTTGAGTTCTTAAAGCTGACCAAAGTTTTTTTTTTTTTTTTTTTTTTTTTAAATGTGTATGTTTTACTTCAACACTGCCAGCGTTTTAAATTGCCATATAAACAAAGGCAACTTTAGGGAAAGTTAGGACTACTGAACTCTTCCCCAACAAATTAATGTAGATATGTCCATGAACACATAGCTGTATTTTCTTAAGTTTGCTTTGATTCTAATTTTTAATGCAAGTCTTACTGCAATTTAAGGTCTTGAAACATAATGGCTAGAATACTTTTTTCTAATTATAGTTTTGAACTTGGCAGTTATTTTTCAATTAAATTAGAGCACAATTCAAAGATGTGTTCTTTTTTCTCTCTCTCTCAGATGCCTACAAAATCTCCCTGGAGCTAGAAATGAAGTCGTCATATTTGCCTCCTTCTTGAGATCTGAAGGAATTCAATTTCTTTTCTTGTGGCATATAAAACAGAATTTTAAAGTCAATTACAAGAAGCAGTAATCTGTATTCTTCAAAACTGACTGGCTCGATAATTTGACTATAAGACATCTTTAACGATTGTCAGGAGACAAACTTTAACTGTAAACAGCTAAATATATTTATAAGAAAGTACTGCATCTCCTGCCACACGAACATGAAACACATCTAAATCCAACATCAGAAGTTGTGTTTAAAAAAAAAAACCAAACAAACAGAAACAAACAACAAACCCATACAACACAGGGATTAAATGATGTGGAAGCTCATGCCAGCTGCAGTCTATGCATTATAGCCAAATCAGAAGGATCGGCAAATGCGTAGTAAATTGTAATTTGTATGCAGTATTTAAGCAGAGGGTGGAGTTTGATGAAGAAATAAAAGGAGTATCATGCTTTAAAAAAAATGACACAACTATGAAAGCACGGTTCAGTCACAAACTTTCCTTTCAAAGTAGAGGGGTGAAAACAAGGCCACAGCTCCAGAGGAGGCGGCCCTAGCTCCGTGGAGAGGAGCGGGAACCAGTGAACGGGCTAGAAGCCCCCCTTCCCCCCTAATTAGACCTACAAGTGCAATAAATCTCACTCCTCTTTTTCCAAGCTAAGCTTCTAAAAGGATGATGGCAGCAATGAATCTACGGTTCAGGGTACTCCAGTCCCAGCCCTTTCCCATTTTAAATAAAGAGTATGAAGACGTGGAGAAGAAAGTGGACTGGAAAACAAAACAAAACAAAACAAAAACACAGTAAAGAGTTTTCTAAGGAAATAAGCACCCCCTTCCCCAAGTTCATGCCAGCACAGCCCCAAGCATCCTCACGCACACACGGGAAAGAGACACACCAAGCACATCCAAGACAGAGGGAGGGAGGGGATTTTATGCCATAGCTCACGATCCCAGGGACACAATCCCGAGCAGGCAGCGGGAGGGGTTGGGGAGCTGGGAAGAGGAGCGCAGGCCGGGAGGGGGAGGCAGCAGCAGCGAGCTTGGGGGGGGGGGGAGACGCAGGGGGAGGAAGGCTGCAGGGACAGGGGAAGGTGGGACGGACCGGGACCACTGGAGCCCCAGCCCCACACAGCAGCCACCCCCTCGAAAAAGAAAGAAAGAAAGGAAGGAAGAAAGAAAGAAAGAAAGAAAAGAGGGGCCGGGAAGCGGGGCGAAGCGCAGGGAGAGAAGCAGAGAAGAAATATTCACCTTCCCGCCTCATGCCCACTTTGAGGCACTTCTTGAGGCGGCAGTATTGGCACTGGTTGCGGTGGTGCTGGTCGATGGGACAGTTCCTGTTGGCACGGCATGTGTAAGTTAAGTTCCTGCGGACGCTCCTCTTGAAGAAACTTTTGCAACCCTCGCAGGTGAATTGGCCGTAGTGCTTGCCGCTCGACTTGTCCCCGCACACCACGCATTCGATGTGCTGCTGGCTCTGGCCCGAGCCGGGCAGGCCCTGGCCCTTGTCCCCCGCCGTGCCGGGGGTGGCGGGCGCTCCGGGCTGGCCCGGGGTCTGCGGCGTGTGCGGCGCGCCCGAGCCCGCCTGCTGCTGCTGCTCGCCGGCGCCACCGCCACCGCCGCGGGCCGCCTGCGCTGCGGGGTTGGGGCCGCCGGGGTTGCCCCCGGCCACGTCGTCCTGCGGATCTCGCCAGCTGCTAACTACCATTGCCATATCTTTGGGCCCGGGGAGCGCTGGGGGGAGCCGAGCTGCTCGCCGAGGGCCGCGGGA